CACTTTTCTGTTTCTTGGTTGGTTGGTTGGTTGGTTGGTTGGTTGGTTGGTTTGGGGGCCACACCTGGCAGTGCTCAGGGCTTAGTCCTGGTTCTGTGCCCCAGGATCTCTCCTAGAAGTGCTCAGGGGACCATATGCAGTGCCAGGGATTGAACCAGGGTAAACTGCATGCAAGGCAAGTGCCTTAACCCCTGTGCTATTGTTCTGGCCGAGGGTGTCTACTTAGAGGAGAGCCCCTGCCTGTGGCCACCCAGGTATGCACTCTGCCTTCCTTGGTTCTGCTCTGAGCCTGGGCTAGGGCGTACCTGGTATTGAACGGTCAGGCACAGCTCCTGAAACTGCAGCTTACAGTCTAGTGAGACATGAGCGAGACTATAACTGCGCAGTCTCACAAGCCCCCAAGACAGCACACACAGGAAGGTGAGAGAGCAATGCAGCCCAGAGTCTATCCCATCAGGCAAACTCCGTAGAGGCTCACCACAGCTTTGGAGAACACTAAATTTCCTTTGCAAACAGACCCACCAAATTCTTCCTTGAAATAACTATTTCTGGGGCTGGAAAGATTGTGCAACAGGTAAGGTGCCTGCCTTCGGTGCAGCCAGCCTGGAGTTCTATCCTCAGCACCCCATAGAGTCCCTCTGCTCCCCACCAGGAGCGATTCCTGAGCACAGCTGGCTGTGGTCCAAAAACCAAAAAAGGAAAATAAAGAAGTGTTTTTATGGGATGTTTGCATATAATAGGCAATCTGTCCATTGTGTTGAAATAACTTGTCAAGAATATCTACCGGGGCTGGAGAGATAGCACAGCGGGTAGGGCGTTTGCCTTGCACGCGGCCGATCCAGGTTTGATTCCCAGCATCCCATATAGTCCCCTGAGCACCGCCAGGAGTAACTCCTGAGTGCAGAGCCAGGAGTAACCCCTGTGCATCGCCGGGTGTGACCCAAAAAGCAAAAAAAAAAAAAAAAAGATCTACCTACTTTGTTTGACCATCAAACATTCCACTCATGGGCTGTGATGGCTCCTTCCTGTTGGGGTTCTGGCCTCCCCTCCTCTGTTCTCTTTCTCCTCTCGCCTGAACCCTGGGCTTCACCAAGAGTCCCTCTGAGCTCTCCATTCTCTTGAGTGGACATCACCTGCTTTCCTGGATTGTCTCCTACATGCTGCAGACAATCCCACACACTCGGCATGTCCTGAGCTCTGGTTTCCTCCACACCCTGTCCTATGGTAGACACTGTTCTCATCCCTACTTGCAGACAGAAAACCGCGTGCCAGTATACTGCCCAGGTCAGCTGCCAGGAAGGGGCACGGCAGGGTTCACACTAGCCAGCCCAAGCCCTTGCTGTTAACCCATGCCCAGGCTGTTCTGTGTATGCTTGCCTGGACACCCTTTCCAGGAGACTCTCCACCAGCCCCTCAAACACAGAATCCTGAGCTTCCAGGCATCAGAGAGTCCTCACTGACATGTTTATGCTGGTTGTCAAAACACGAAAATAGGGCCAAAGAGACAGTACAGAGGCTAGGGTGCTTGCCTGGCATGCAACTGACTCAGGTTTGATTCCTGGCATTACATATAATACCTGAATCCCACCAGGCATGAGCCCTGAGCACAGAGCCAGGAGTGATTTCTGAGCATCACTGGTTGTGGCTTGACAGCCAAAAAAAAAAAAAAAAGCATAAAAATACTTGCAAACATGGGAGCCTTAGACTTGTTCCCTCTCAGCACTCTCCCCTAAACCTCCCTGTATCTGACAGCCGTGATGGGGTGCTGGGGAGAAGAGGCTGGGATCTGGGTATGCGGGGAGCATTAGGATGCTGCTGGCCTTGGCTCAGCCTGTGCTACCCCTGCAGTTTCATAGGTTAATATTGCTTCTGCCTCCTCCTCTCTCTTCAAACTAGTTCCTCCTCTGACTTCCTTATTTCTGTGCCCACACCTCATTTTCCAGTTCACCTTATATAGAGCTGCTGCCAACCCACCTTCCCTCTTCCCTCTAGCTCACCTCTGATACCTTATCTGGTCCCACGGGCTTTGTGCTAGGGGACCAGAGACAATGCCGGATACTCCCACATCACAGTCCATGCTCAGCCCTTTGAACCATCTCCACGGCCCCTGGGGGACCACACCCCAAGGAGCTCAGGGTCATGCCCTGCAGTGCTCAGGGACCTTCCAGGCTACACCAGGTGGTACCTGGGCACCTGCCACACCGGGGATCAAACTCACAGTCTCACAATGCTCAACGCATGCTCCATCACTTCAGCTGACCTCGACTTAAGCTGATCCCTGTGCCTCTGACCTCTCCACCTCTGTCACTGTTCCTTCTTCCTCGTCATCTCCTGACTTCTGCCATTCTCACCCCACTTCCTTCCCCTCCTCAGCCTTGTCTGCCACCTGCCATTCAAGGCCAAAGCTGGAGCCGAAGTGATATTACAGCAGGCAGGGCGTTTGCTTTTGCACACAGTAGAGCCGGGTTTGGTCTCCGAGCACGACCAGGAGTGATTCCTGAGTTCAGAGCCAGGAGTAACCCCGGAATATCACTGGGTGAGACCCAAAGAGAAATTATATATATATATATATATATATATATATATATATATATAAAATCCCAACCTCTCATTCTGAAAATGAGAAAACATCTTGGGCTTCATCCCCGGAAACCTCAAGGCAGCCCCTGAGCTTCCCAGCAATTTCCATGCTGTTCCTCTCCCTCTCCAATCCTAGCCCACTGTGCTATCTGCCAGATCCCTATACACTAGGCAGGTGCCGAGGGGGCTCAGCTGACGGGGACATCCAAGTCCCTACACCCAACCCCACAGCTCATGCCTGGTGGGATTCAGGGATTATATGTAATGCCAGGAGTCGGTGTCTAGAGTCTGGGTGAGTGACTGATGCATCATGTGAACACTGCAGTCCTGTCTACACTGGCAGTGTTAGGGAGTCCTGCAGAGAGCCAGGCCAGGACCAGCCTCTGAATCTCACTGAACCTCCCTCCCACATAGACCAGCCACGCGACAGCTGTCCAACCTCTCTACCCCTCACTTTCCTCATCTGTAAGATGGGAGCACAAGTTCCCCCTGGGGGTTGTGGTGAGACCTCCAATAATAAGGTCTGTGGGATGTACTTGCCACAACAGGGGAGAGCTCGTCACCAGCCTTGTTTTTAGTATCTGACACCAAACATCACAGGAAATTTAGATACAAGACACTATCACAAAGGACCTTGAGGAGTTCCAAGACCTTCTGGAGAAACCCAGAAAGTTCTTTCCCCCACACGTTTCCCCATTTCTAACTCCAGTCCAGCCCTCGTTCTGCAGCACCCACTCCATCCCAGTCATTGCAGCCAGCAGCATGTATGTGGGTGACACACAGGGGTGTGTCACCCACACACATGCTGGCCAGAGGTGCCTCTGAGGGTGGAAGCCACGGGTTTCATGGGTCATAAGCCTGATGGGCCTGTTGGGATCCTGTGTTCCCCAAAAGGAAACACCGACTGTGCCAAGGATAGTACCAGTGTTCCAGGTTCTCGTGTATAGGCATCCAAATTCAATCCACATGGTCAGAGATATTGTGCAGGAGTAAGGCGCTTGCCTTGCATATGGTCAACCCAGGTTCTCGATCCCAGAACCACATACAGTCCTTGGAGCACCGCCAAGAGTTATACCTGAGCACAGAATCAGGAGAAAGCCCAGTATGACCCAGAAACAAATAAACACACATAAAACAAATTGAAACCACAAACGGAAGGGCGAGGAATGGGGCTCTCTGCTGGAGCACAGCTATGCCTATGAGGCCCTGGGTTTGATCCCTCAGACAGGACTGGTGAGGAGGGAACCCCAAGTACTAGGAAAGAGCAGAAGGTAAGCTCTGATGAGCAGGTGACATCCGGCCAACTAGGTACAATCAAGAAAGTCTTCCCTGAAGAGGGGGCATTGAGGCCAAGATCCAAAAAGTGGGTATCCTACTTAAATGGGCATCACGCTAGGGTCAAAGCATCTCAGTCCTGCTTTCACCCACTGCTGTGCTAGGACCTTGAGTTCTGTGCTCCATCAGAAATATTAGCAGGCCTTTTGGCAGAGCTGAAGGGTGCAGTACCCCCTGAAGACTCTCAAGAATTCCAGAGGTTGGAGAGAGTACAGTGTGGAAACCACTTGCCTTGCCCACAGCCAACCTGAGTTCCATCCCTGGCGTCCCAGATGACCCCTTGAGCCCTTCCAGGTGTGACCTCTCCACCCACCCAGCCTCTCCCCCCGCAAAAAAAAATTCTTCCAAGGACAGGGTCTACCTTATGTCCTTAGACTGGTGCCGTCCCCACCATGGGGCAGACCTTTGAGGCAGCTTGACCAGCGTAAGCAGCTCAGAGGCCTGGGATCAGAGTACACAGGACGGCCGGCCACTGTGGGGCCTTGCGGGGTGCCTGGAGAGGAGGCTGAAGGGAGCCAGACTGGGCAAAGAAAGGGGGACCACTGTCAGAGTCGCCAGTGGGGCTGGTAACTACCAGAGTGGATGCCAGGGTTCGCACATGCAGGGGTCCCCCTCCGGTCACGAGCCAGGCCTGGGGAAGGGGCTTTTGGGGACAGGGCTACCAGACAGCACAAGGCAAGCGAATTCCTTCAGGGTCCGCAGGGGCTAACAGGGCAGGGCTTGATCTAGAAAGTTGAACCGTAGGGTGCCTAAGACTGTCCGTGGGGCGCAGTTCTGGCCAGGGTGTCCGTCACCCTCCCCCCCCCCCCCCCCAGCCACACGGGTTGTTTTTCTCTCTGGGGTTGTGCGTTGCGGGCTGGAGATGCCGCGGACCCTAAGGAGTGGGCGCGAGTGGGCGCTGCAAGGACCACTGTGGACAGTGAGAGGGGCACCCGGAGCCGGCCCCGGGGACTGGAGCGCGGAGCCGCGGCCCAGCGCCAATGTTGTCCAGGCGTCGGCTCAGGTCCTGCCCCTGTGTCCCTGGTGCCGTGCCGTCCCGGCGCGGCTGCCGCGCCCAGAGCCGGCCGCCTCCCGCGTCCACTTACCCAGAAGTTTCCCTTAAAGAGCGAGCGGGTCATGGCTGCACACGTTGGGGAGCGCGGGGCAGAGTCAGAGGCCGAAGCGTCACTGCCGCCGTCCCGCAGCGCAACTGAGTCGCCTGGTGCGCCGGGAGACCCGCCCCGGACTGACCACGCCCCCGACGGGCCACAGGTCACGGACTCTCACGCTCGCAGAGCCTCAAACTACAGCCGCGCACACAACACGCACAAGCACACACACACACGCCCGCGCGGGCACACGCGCACAAGCACACGCGCACGCACGCACACACAAATACACACACAAGCACACACACGCGCACACACGCACAGGCACACATAAGCACACGCGCGCACACACACAAACGCACACACACACAAACTCACGCACAAGCACACGCACGCACACACAAACACGCACACGCGCGCGCGCACACACACAAGCATACGCACGCACACAAACACGTACACACGCGCAGTCACGCGCCCTCAGGAGCCTTGGAGATTTGGGAGAAACTGGTCTGGTCGTCTTCCCTATTTGAGTTCAGCTCCTGCCTTTCCGCGCCACCCCGCCCGGTCCCAGTTCCGCGTGCAGAATCCGGGTTCGACCCAGGGCCGGAGGCTGAGGCTGCGCTTGAGCGCCGGGTGGCGATGCGGACCGGCGCAGTTGCGAACTCCCACACCAGCCTGTCACCTGGCCAGAGGGAGGTGGGGCGGGTTGGGGGATCGCTCCTACTGCACTTCAGCCCCTTGGGACGCGTTTTGGTCGAAATGTCCCAGAAAAAGTCTTTGATAAAATGTCCCCTCCACCCTGGTCCCTAGGTCTTCCAGGGAACCTGGAAGTTCAGATCCTCAACCTCCTTCCTCCTCTCAAAGCTAAAGCATCCCAGTCTGATCCCACACCCCAACCTCCATCCACTCGCTGTGCCCCCTCGTATTCTCGTTCATAAACAGAACCCCAGCCCTCATCCTGCTTTGAAATTCTACTGCTTTGAAGTGATCCAGTGCTCTATCACCAAATAATGCCTGGGTGGCTCCCCTGGCCCCACCCAGCTGCGGTCATCATGGTCATCATGGTGTTTTCTTTCTCTGTTTGTTTGACTTTTGTTGTGTGGCCTTGGGGGATGAACCCAGGGGGCCATGTGCAAAGCACTGACCGGGAAGGCTCCAGCTACTCCCCAAGTGATGAATGGGCACTTGCTGGGAGTGAGGGGAAGGCCAGCTAAAAGGCTGCACCTGGCACGCTGGCCCATGGATTCACACCTCCCTGAGCTTCATCCGTGATCGTGATCGGGACTCCAGCCCCACGGTCTATCCTAAGCCAGGTGCACTTGCATCTCTCAGGAAAGCAGAAAGGACAGAAGGAAAGAAGGGAAACCCAGGGGGCCCCTCAGGGGACAGCAGAGCCAGCAGAGGGGTTGGGGAGCACCCCTGGACAGGTTCCCAGGAGGATGAGGCTGCCAAGGGGGAAGTGAGGGAACTGAGAGGGCAGCATCATTTGCCCTGGGAGTTATAAGTATTTTAAAACAGATATCTTAGATGAAAATGTCAAATTTAAATTTGATTTTAATGTGTATTCATATGTGTTGGGGGAGCACCCCCGCCCCTCCCCCCCTCCGCCCTCGAGGCCCCTTCATACCTACTTTTAAAACCTAGACAGTCTCACTAGTTCTCCTGGTACCTGGTACTGGATCTATCCCTGAAAGTTAACTCTCTCCCACCACCTAGTGGCACTACTGCAAATTGCAAGTAATATTGCAAGAAAATAATGCTAATTCCTCAAACTTTTAGTTCATCACCTGAACAGATGTTGTGAACAAAAAAAGATTTTTGAAAAATGTGTGCCATATGTGTATATAAAAATGATGGATATTTTATTTTTTAAAATTTAAATATCACTGCTATACCAATTATAAAAATGAAATTAAATGAAGAATAGCATGCATTTAAATGGTTCCCTCCAAGGCCATTGGGTTGAGGAACAGGGTAAGGAGGGTAGGGCTAGAGAGATAGTACAGGGGATAAGGTGCATGCCTTGTGGCCAACCCCCATCTATCCTGGGCTGAGTGTGCCCCCCCCCCCAAAAAAAAGGGACAGGCGATGCTCAGGAGTTACTCCTGGTTCATGCACTCAGGAATTACTCCTGGGGGTGCTTGGGGGACCATATGGGATGCTGGGAATCAAACCTAGGTCAGCTGTGTGCAAGGTAAACGCCCTACCCGCTGTGCTATTGCTCCAGCCCCCCTTTATGTCTTCTTAATATCTCAGGCTGTACATCTGAGTTTAGGGCAATACTCCAAAAACAGAAAAACCGTTCAACACCAGAAATATTTTTCTTGTTTTGGTTTGGTCTGGAGCTACACCTGGTAGTACTGGGGGTCCACTCCTGGCTTGTTGCTCAGGAGTCATCCCTACTGGTGCTCAGGGGACCATGAGGTGCCAAGAATGACACCTGGCATGCAAAGCATGTACTTCAGCCCTTTGACCTATTTCTCTGGGTCTTGCATATTTCCCATCAACACTTCAATAATAATTTCCCAATAACTTCTTAGCATTTTTCCAAAGCTTTCAAAAATATTCATAAAAGTATATGGGGTTATAAAAAAAATCTCTATAAAATCTTTGTTTAAATTCCTCAGAGAGGGGCAGAGAGATAGCACAGGGGTTACGACACTTGCCTTTCATGCAGCCCGTCCTGGTTCAATCACCGGCATCACAGCATTGGGAGTAAGTTCTGAGCACAGCCTAGTTAGTGTGGCCCTGAGACCCCGAGAAGTATAATCAAACAAAACCCCTCATTGAAGACTTACAAGTAAAAAGAAAATAAGCTCCATCAGGGAAAGTGGGAGCTGATGGTGTTCCCAGTAGTCCTGCATTATCAGGCTTTTCCCACACAGTGGCCACTTCAGTCTTGTTGATGTGGCCGCAACCAGCCTCAGGATGGAAACTCCACTGAGGGAAACTCCATGTGGATCCTGCCACAAAGAGAAAGGGTCCTCCTGGGTGATGAGATTCAGCTCTGGGGAGACCTTCTGCTCACAGAACTCTATTTGCTGTGGCTTCGTGCAATATTTTGAAAAGTTCGCTTCTACTAGTTTACTTGAAAAAAAAATGGTGCATTAGGGGCAGAGGTCATAGCTCAAACGCTAGAGTGCATGCATGTTTGATACTGGCACCCCAAGGTTCCCCAACCATGGGGAAACAACTCCCTACCCCAGCACCTCACCAGGGTACGTGCCCCCCCAAATAAACAAAATTATTGACATCAGTGATGTTAACCACATGAAACCAGATAGCACAATCACGCTGAAGTTACTGGCGATAGAGTATCCAGGAGGTGAAATTCTTTGTGTCCTAGAGCATCTGCTAGACAAAGAAATGGAAGATGGAAGTACCAAGGCCAGTGTAGCCAGCTTCTGAAAACATATAAATGAGCTAGTCAGGCAGAATTGCACATACCCACAGCCCGAGTCAGTTTATAAGTTGACTACTGACTTGCTTACAGGAAGAGAGTTGGTTTTCACAGTAAAACCTAATTATGAACACAGATGATCTTGGAAGAGCTTGCCTCGTCAACGCCTTCTAAAATTATTGGCATGAAAGGTGATTTCTTAAATAATCTGGCAGTAGATGCTGTGCTTGCGAGTAAATACACAAATACGAGGACTAGAAATGCCTTGCAGGAGCCCTGGGATCGATCCCCACTTCCAATCCTCCACTCCATAAGGTCCCCTGAGCACCAGTGCGAGTCGTCCCTCAGCCCCAGCACTGAGCCAGGAGTAGAATCTCAGAATACGCCCAAGAGGACACCTGAGGTAAACTGGAACCTGCCTTCAGACTACAGAAAACAAGCTGCAGTTTGGCATGTACGTGATTATTGCGGACACTGAAAGGCTGGAGAAAAGAAATCAGTTGTCATTAAAGACAGAATCCAGGAGATCCTGGCAGCTGATACAACAGGGATTCCAACCTCTGGCAAAACTGACCATGTATATCTCGGCTACATTGTGTATATGGGCACTATGGGGGTCAGAGTTTTTAAAAAAGACTTTAGTGGGCCAGACAACCTAAGTTCAATCCCTGGTACCCAGCAGGAGTGATCCCTGAGCTCAAAGCCTGAAGTAACCCCTGAGCATTGCCGGGTATGGCTCCCCAATCAAACAAAAAAAATTAAATTAAAATAAAAAATAAAGGGCAGGGGGTATGGTGCCGCCAGCAGGTCAATGTGTACCTGTGAGGCGAGTGCATCAGCAGCCTGATGGTGCCTCCAGACTTCCAGATACCCCAAAATTGCTGCTGTGCCTTTGGCCAGACCCCAAAAACTTGGGGCAAAGTTTACCAGGAAAGCAAATGGCCAAAAGTTAGGTATGTGGGAAACACACCCACAAACCACCTCCGGCTCAGCTATATAATTGGACGCATGGCCTCTCTGGTTCCTGATTGAATTGCTTAATGGCCATGATCCCAGAGACTCAGAAACAAATCTCGAAAACCAGCGGCTTTTGGCAGAAATGCATCCAGTCCCTGCAGTAGGTTACCGGTGCTGTGCCAACCCAGGTGGGAATAGGTGTCGTGCCTTGGCTTGCTCCCCCTTGGCGGCCTGGTGGCCGTCATCCTCCAGAGGCCATTGGACAGTCAGGCTTGGGCCCGCAGTGACGAAACTTGTTGGGCTTCACGGGATGTGGGGGAGCTGGGCCTGTCCTCCCCACCCCAAAGAGACCCCAGTTATCGCCCACGAAAGGCCTCTCTGGCTTCTGATCAGGCTGCTTAACCACCTTGATCCCAGAGACTCAGAAACAAATCTCGAAACCGAGTGGCTTTTGGCAGAAATTCGCCTGGACCACGCAGTAGGTTACTGTCGCTGGCCACCCCAGGGGGAAAAGGGTGCTGTCCCTCCTGCTTCCCTCTGGTGGCTCAGTGGCCATCATCCTCCAGAGGCCATTGACAGTCAGGCTTGGGTCCGCAGTGACGAAACTTGTTGGGCCTCATGGGATGGGGGTGGAGCCGGGCCTGTCCTCCCCACCCCAAGGAGACCCCAAGTTATCGCCCATGAACGGCCTCTCTGGCTCCCGATCAAGCTGCTTTATGGCTATG